TCGATCAGGTAATAGTTACATGATAATCCATTCAGTTTCCACATTTCCTCTGTTCGGTTGCTTTTTTGAAAAAAGTTCACGTTTCAAGTTAGATCAATTACAAAGAAAAATAAACGTTTGGGAATTAAATATATGATAAAAGGGAAAATATATTAAATTGAACAATATAATATATATGATGTAACTGTTAATCATTGACTGAATGTTATAGTAACCCATTTGTAATATTATTTCGTCATATAATCCCGTATGACATCTGAATTATCACCATCGCTATTTACCTAATGTTACCACATATGAACAGATATAATCCTGAAAACATTTTTAGAATTATAATCTATCAGTTTAAGAACTTTAAAAAACCATTCTTTTAAAATTACGGTTAAAAAGTCTTCTCAAAACGAACCTGTTAATATCTCTGCTCCGCCGCGAAAATTGTGCGGTTTTTCATAAAATAAATACGATCTAAGTGTCTTAGAAGTAAAATTTAAGCATCTTTATAGTAGGAATGGCATAAAATTTAAATCAAAGGGACAATAAATTAAGTTAGGAAATTAATTCTTACCGACTTTATTGAATCCGATGTCCTATATCCCAAATCAATATTATGCAAGAATACAGAGCGAATACAGAGCGATAAATAAGTCAATAACCACTAAATAATTTAATAAGTGCAATTATTTATTCAACAAAAATTAAAATCCAGTCACAGTTTACTAAATACAGCCATTATTCGGTCGTATTTGTGGAGAAAGCGAACGACAATCCATCGTTTGTTTACATCGGAAGCCATTTTGCCGCAATGCATGACGGAGCCAAAGACTTCTTTTTTGGAGTTCACGCCGTTTTTGGAGTTCGTCTAGACTGATAGGTCCCTGGTGATATCGTTTCATATTCTTGTTATTTAAATAATAAAACATCAAGTAAAATTATGACTTAATTCTATAACTGCTTTATGCCTGAAATGCCCGATTTCTATAACTAAGCATGATTAGAGATTCAACGTAAAATAAACTGTGCCAGTGTGTATCCATAATCCAGGATACCTTTCCGAGGTTATTTAAGTGTAGTTCTTGTATCAACACAAAGACAATAATTTCTCAATAAATTAGGCAATTAAGACGAATAAGAATAAACAAAATAGTATGCTCTCAAAATAAATTTTACAAACTTGCCTTTTAGAGCCAAAATAAATCACCAGCAAAGTAACAGATGTTTCATACGTGTTTACATCACCACCAAAAGTTATCTCCCGTATAATAATTTTTGGCATATCGAACCCGATCAAAACTACAAATGCCCCTCCCCTTAGTAGACTAAAAATTATTCTTTTTCTTCCTATTCAAATCCTAAGATTGACATCATTTTTATGTTACAAAATTCAGTGCTTTTTTTTGTCTTGGTACATATTTAATTTTTTTGTGTGTGAATAGGTAGGTAGGTTTTTAGAAAGAGGAGTGGACACTTTTATAAAACAAAAACCAATAAAAAAATTGGAATGACCTTACTTGAGAATGCTTTAATCTCATACAGAACAAGAGGCCCATGGGCCACATCGCTCACCTGATAGCTTTGACCATGCTGTTCTTTACTAAATTTCCCCATTGTAATACATATACTGTGACCCCACCCTACCACATAGGTCATAATTTGAACAATTTAGAATCTACACTACACAAGGATGCTTCCGCATAAGTTTCAGCTTTTCTGGGAAAGTGATTCTTGAGACGAAGATTTTTGCTAAATATTTCTATGTAAAACTTTGATTCCCTATTGTGGCCCTGCCCTACCCCTGAGTCATTATTTGAACAATTTAGAATCTACACTACCCTTGGATGCTTCTACATAAGTTTCAGCTTTTCTGGCCCAGTGGTTCTTGAGAAATTTTTTAATGACCCCACCCTATTTTTGTCTTTTCTTGGTTATCTCCCCTTGTGGTGGGACTTGGCCCTTGTTTTCACAATTAAAGCTCCCCTTTACCCAAGGATCCTTTGTTATAAGTTTGGTTAAAGTTGGTCCAGTGGTTCTTGAGAAGTTGAAAATGTGAAAAGTTTACAGACAGAAGGACAGCTAGACGAACGATGGACAAAATGTGATCAGAAAAGCTCACTTGAGCCTTCAGCCTTCTGTATGAGCTAAAAAGGGGCTTAACAATTACCAACCGCGAGTCAATGCGTAGAATACAACACTATATAGAGGTCTCCACAAAACAAAAACTGATAGATGAAGCTTATAAAGTAAATCTTTTCAGGATAGCTCCAACCAATTTTTACTTTATCATGTTTATCTTAAAATCAAAAGCCTGAAAGACTTCAATGGCGTCGAACAAGAAAAACAATTTCAAAAGATCTGCAAATAGGTCAAGTGAGTGACTCCAGTAACATAATAATAAAATTTAAAAAAATAGTCGTAACACAAATACAGTATAGGGCCTGATAGCCTTGTGTCCTGGTCCGAATGAGTCAGGGTTCGAATTGACCAGACATCGTCAGAAATGTCCATCCTCTATATCAATCTAATTTCTTTTCAGTCAATCGAAGACATATGAAGGGTTTCATAAATTATTTAAATTAATTGCCATTGTCAGAGTGTTGTTCTGTTGTATAGTGATTGCATCTTAACTACAACCATGACTCTAATGTTACAAGTACGATCGACTTACGATAAGGTGCGGTAAACAAATGGAGGAAATGGATAAATACAGTAATACTGGCATTACTGGTCAATATCGTAGGTTGTTCGGCTAAAATTGGATTGAAGTTCGTAAAATTAAAGCTAAGATTAAGAAATTCAATCTTTAAGTCTTGTTGTATTCGTGTTTATTTTGTAATTATTTTATCGTATTTAAGATTGTTTGTATTTAACAGTAATCGGTCCCAAAATGTGATTCATGTCATTCGACGCATCCTCTCAGTAGAAATTCATCCGCAACAACCATAACGTTTTTCTTGCGTAAAAATTAAACATAATATCGTTGTTTTGCAGTAGTTTTAATTGAAGATACAATTGATTTAATTTTATATTCAAGCTATTATTCATTGTGAACGTTTTAAAAGAAATTGGTTTACAGCTGTTGCTATTTTCTATTGCGGATGCATCCACTGACACGTGCGGTCGCGTAAACCTGACTGATCGCTAGATGACGATCGGGCAAGCCCGACGCCATAAAAAAAGGGTGTGGCCCTTCATTTGAATATACCTGAATACCTTTTACCCAAGCACACTCAGTCCAAAGTTTGGTTTAAATTGGTCGAGTGGTTCTAGAGAAGAAAATGATTTCTTTTTAAAATTATGATAATGGCAACAGCAGGCAAAACAGAAATTTTGACCAGAAAAGCTCAGATGAGTCTATGGCTCAAGTGAGCTAAATATGAAGGTCAGACCCAGCATCAGATGTATCATCCCCGCCTTACATGTTGATACAGTAAAACTTGGTTATAACGAAGTCAGTGGGACCTATGAAATTACTTTGCTATATCTGTAATTCATTATATCTGTATAAGGAATTCGTTAAATTCATATAGCTTGGGATCCAAGATAACTTCCCTATATCCATAAATTCGCAATATCCATGTTTGTACTAAACAAGTTTTGCTATACTTGAAAATAAAATCTGCTTCTTAACTTAAATCTGCTCCAAAAACATTAATCTTGTCATTCTTCAGCTGAAATTGCATCATTTGAAACCTTGACTCATACAATGATAAATACTTAAAGCATCATTCCATCATCTCTGGGTAATACAAGAAACAAATCTGATCCCAAAACTCCAACCTGGGATGCTGTTGCCGAGGATATCATATAAAAATTCCACAACTAATTTGAGATGTGCTTAAAAAGTTTCACTCTTTGTACTTTCACTTACATAGAAGTATCTACTACAAATTGTATTCATTATTGAAGGGTTAGCTCAATTATACAAAATTAAAACCCATTGGCCTGGAAAAGAAATGCATTCCAAAATGTACTGATGACTACACAGAACAATCAATTATGGTAAAGCACTAACAAAGTCCTGCAGAGTAAAAACCATTCACACAGATCAACATCAAATTTTTATTTTAAAAAAATTCAGTAAACAAGTGTCATCAGCAACAAATTACCAAAAAACAAAAGCCATTTTATCAGTGAAACACAATGGATTAAAAAAAAATCAACAAGATTTAAAATTTAATTGTTTTTCTAGATACACATAGTTTTATTTTTCCATCACAAAGAGGGCTTTACTAATTAAAATCTTTGAAAGTTAAAAATTACAATAAACGTTTGTTAAGGGATTTTTTAAATAACTTAAGCCAACTGATTGGTTAAATAATTGAACACATTTAAACGGAATAACCTGTTTTAACATTTTTCAAGAACATATAAACTCCTTTTGGAGAAAATTGCATGCAAAGTAGCCATTCTTTCCATGGATTACAGACCTTGAAAAGAACACAACTGTGGGACAGGGACAAATTATTCCTATTCTATAAATTGTTACAAAGAAATCTTACATAAGGGATTTGCACAATTTCTACAAATATAGGAGTACACAATCAATACAAATAATTACATACATGTACCTTGTTCGAAGAACTATTTGAAAAATTTCATTACACATTTATACATGTATTAGAGTTTTAATTCTTTCTTTAAAGTTTGGAAATTGGACAAAATTTAAATGTTATCAGTTTCCTCTGCATATCAGGTTTTCAATCAAAACATCAAGCAAGGAAATAAATAAATTTTTCTTTGTGTAAATCTATTTTTAAAAACAGTACACATTTTAATCTTAAATTAGCTTTTTTTAAAAAAAAAAATCTATTTGTTCATCCTAAAAAGCAAAGTATTTTGATTCAGACCCATTTGATTTCAACTGGAAGAAAGCAAATTGAAATTTAGGTCTATCAACTCGAAAAAAAAACCCAGAATATCAAGATTATAAACATTACAGCAGTATTTAAAACCTCAATCTTTGTACAATAATACTGAAAAATACATCTAGGTCTCAAGATGAACCCCCATTTTGATATACATATACATCTTCTATTCTGATATCATCACTAATCTGTTTAAAATGATTAACAAATTACAATCCCAAATACCAATGCTACAATGTACAACCCCCTACCATGTTACTGGTGCTTTTCCTACAGTACAGTCAAAAGTAGTTCAACATATTTGTATTAATGCAATAAATTGTTAATCATTCCTATGATTATTTTCAGCTGCCATTTTGTAAATTTCTCTGTCTTGGATCAATGCCCTTTACAACTGTCAAACATGATTTCTGAACACTGTCCAATATACATGTATATACCATGTTCACGTTCTTCGTAGCTTCTTTCTACTGTCCTCAGATGTTGGGGTGATGGAGGCTAGTCTTTTACTCTGTCTGGTGGGGGTGAACTGGGGACTAGGGGAGGGGGCGGTCTCTGTACCGTTGACAGGGGTACGATTGGTGAGGCGGGACCGTTTACTGGGCGTGGCAGCCTCAGACACAGGTGGGGTGACTTGTGGGGTGCGAGATCTGGGGGGTGTGGATGTCATACCTGAAGGAAAAATACATTCTATGAATCTGATGACCTCATTAAAATATTCTGTGAAATAATGGACTACAAGCTTAATACTATACAATAGTTAAGTTTTACCTAATTTTCTGTTCTATTTCCTTCAATTAACAACTTTCAGACTTTACTATTCAATGGCCAAACTTTACCCAATTTCATTTTTACTGCCCTCAATTAACAACTTTCAGGCTTAGTATTCCATAGCCAAATATACCTAATTTCTGTTATACTTTTTTCAGTTTTACTATTGATAGCCAAGCTTTACCTAATTTCTATGCTACATGTACAGTATTTCCCTCAGTTAACAGCTTTCAGACTTACTATACAATAGTCAAGCTTTACCTATTTTCTGTCCTATTTCAGCTTTACCTAATTTCTGTTCTATTTCCTTCAGTTGTTTCTCTGCCTCCTGGCATTCCTTCTTTTTGATCTTCATCTCGGGAAGTTCTATGTAGCTGGACTGCTCTTTCAGTTCTTCTTTGGCTTTCTCTGTCTTTTGCATTGCCACTTTCAGTCTCTGGAGGGTTTCTAAATTTGAAATTCATAAAAATTCTTTTTCACATTTTTTTTCTGAGTTGGTTTATAAAAAATAAATGATCTATGTTACATGCCTGTAAATGAGTTCTTTATTTCTTACTAAAAGTAACTTTTTAAATTTAAAAATTCCAGTCTGATGTACCATTTGTTCTATGAATAAATTGCTATAAATAAGAAGAAACCAACTTCTTCTGTAATAAAAAAAAAACCCTGTCCCCTCAGAGAACCCAAGTATTACAAATATATTGTACTATGAACATGAGTATTTCCTTACTACAGTCTCTGTGCTTACCAAGAACTGCCTCGGCCTCTTTGTACTGACGAGGAAGTGGTTCTCCAAACACTGCCCCCTTCAGCTTCTCAAAAGGAACCGCTTTATTCATCAAACCTCCAAACTTGCCATTGCTCCTTATTCGATCCCCTTCTCTGGTAAGAATTGTTGGACAATGCGTGAATTTCACAATCTGTTTGAAAAAAAAAAAAAAAAAAAAAAAAGTTTTTAAGCCATATTATACATGTATATAAAAATTCCTTTTTTTTTCATTTTTAATTTTTTTTTTTTTGGACACTGAATAGGAAAAGTGAGAGATTTATTTCATTTTAAGGAGACTATTAAAATAAGAAGTGAACGTTGCAAAATGCTTGAACAATGACAAATCTTAACAAAGTTACAAAGTTACAAATTATAGTTTACAAATTTACCTCCTGTCGATAAGAATTGGCAGAATTCAGATCATCCAGAATTAGGGTATCCCCCAATAACATACCAAAGACTGAAAAAAAAATCAGATCTAAATACATGTATGTACATGTAAAATCCAGTCAACATTGTAAGATGGATCATCTATTAAATTTTTAACTTATAAAATAGTTGAACAATCTACATGTATAATTATACCTATTTGACATTCCTCTTTATGACCAGGGAACTGTAGAAAACCTCTAGCATAAGCTGGGTTACCAGGAGGCTTCCAACCTGATCTGTATCGAATGTGAGGAAGAGGTCTGGAAAATATAGCAGTGTGATTAAAAAGAAGATGATTAAAAAACAGGGAAAAAAAAGCATAAGCTGGGTTACCAAAACCTGATCTGTATCGAATGTGAGGAAGAGGTCTGGAAAATATAGCAGTGTGATTAAAAAGAAGATGATTAAAAAACAAAAAAACAAAAAACCCATCTAAATACAAGAATATTTTAACGAACATACCTGTCCATTTACTTAAAGAAATTAAATTGCCTTTACTCAAATTTGCTCTTATTGTAGTTTGATTGAAACTTGTATGGGTAACACATCAATTTAAATGAAGAGTAATTTACTAATGACCTAATGCATGTAATATTATCCTTAGTTTATCTGACAATGTATCTTATAGAGATTCCTCCATACAGAACAAAAAAAATCTTACTTATTCCAGTCTGGTAAGCTTTTCTTGAAGATAGAGTCAATAGGCAGGACTTGTTGTTTTCCATTGGTTTGCTTGTACACCTCCTTGGCCTGGAAAAGTTTGAGTGTCATGTAAATAAATACAAAAAAATACACATACATGTGTATCAAAGCTATGTTTCAAAATACTGCATTACTGAAAAGTCATTTTGATTACCATTTTGGTTGTCTTGGTGACCACACAGTCTATGTCAGATGACATGTGCCATGACAACACTCTGGCTATATCAGGATCTTCTATCTCCGCCAAATGTCCAATCTAAATACATGGTAAAATGATTTTTTATTAAAAGCAGTTTTATATTTTAACCAAAAAATTTCAGTTTTGTCTGATTATCACAGAAAAGGGCTTTATCTTCTTTTATGACATTCTAATTAAATGAAAGAAAAGGTGAGCAAGCTCACATACACATCACAAGTGCGGAAATTCTCGGACAAAATAAAGGAATCAGAATTTCCTGGTAATATGCACATCTACATATTGTGTCCGTAATATCTGCAGAGTTTGACGAAATTGTGTGCAGCGGTTTATGAGGAGTTCCGCTGACAAACTATTCATCTCTATATTCAAGAAACAGTCAAGAATCTAAGTGTAAAAGTGCGGAAATTTCCAGAAAAAATAAAGGAATCAGAATTTCCTGGCAATATGCACATCTACACATTGTATGCTTAATATCTGCGAAGTTTGGCAAAATTGTGTGCATCGGTTTATGAGGAGTTGCGCTGACAAACTATTCATCTCTATTTTCAAGATATTGCCCAAAATTAAAGTTGAAAAGTGCAGAAATTCCCGGGAAAATAAAGGAATCAACTTGCCAAGGAATAAGGAAATAAAGAATATCAAATAAAGGAATCAACTTGTTGCGTGGGGTATAATAACCATATTAAAAATTTGTATAAAATTTTATTTTGCCAAATTTTAAGATGCAAATTGGAAGTTTAAAAATGCATTTCAAATATGCAATATAAACAAAGGAGTATTATTTTGTTCACCTTTCCTACAATGTCTGGATTTCCAGGTAGCTGTTGTAGTCCACAGGTTCGCCTGTTTGTTCGCAAGTACTTTTCCTTCTCTAACTTTTTAGACTCTATCTGTTTTTCGATATTTGGCATCTAAAAAGAAAAGATAGGAAACATACTTACTGGGTGATTGAAAGTTCTGCCAAGTAAAATCAACTTTTGATTTTAATCTATCTAACGTACAGTTAATGATTGACTCAGATTGACTTTCAGTTTCTGAAGCTCTTCTCTGATTTTGTTTTCCTCCTGAATTGCCTCTCTGACAGATGCTGAAATAGAGTTATTCATTAAACTAAACAAAAGAAACTTATCCTTGAAAGTTCTTTATAATCTTATCTACAACAAGTATATCTCAGTCATACATATGACAAGAGGCCCAGGGGCCACAGTGCTCACCCGAGCACATTGGCTAGGAAAAAGCACATATCAGATCAGAACTGAAAGTTTACTGGGGGGGGGGGGGGGGGGGCTTGTTTTAACCCCCCAGGGGTTCATGATTTGAACAAACTAGAATCTACACTACCTGAAGATGATTCCATATTAATATCACTAATCATAGCTTTGAATTACTTGAAAAGATGATTTTAAAAGGTTTCCCTATAACTCCCTATGTAAAACTTGGGTCGGCCATTTTGGCCATATCCTAGCCCCGGGGGTCATGATTTGAACAAATTTGAATCTACACTACCTGAGTATGATTCCACATGAGTTTCATCTTTCCTGGCCCAGTGGTTCTTGAGAAAAAGATTTTTAAAGATTTTTCCAATATATATCGTATGTAAAACTTGGGTCGGCCATTTTGGCCCCACCCTAGCCCCGGGGGTCATGATTTGAACAAACTTGAATCGACACTACCTGAGGATGATTCCACATGAGTTTCATCTTTCCTGGCCCAGTGGTTCTTGAGAAGAAGATTTTTAAAGATTTTTCCTATATATTCCTATGTAAAATTTGGGTCAGCCATTTTGGCCCCACCCTAGCCCAGGGGGTCATGATTTGTACAAACTTGAATCTACACTACCTGAGGATGATTCCACAAGAGTTTCATCTTTCCTGGCCCAGTGGTTCTTGAGAAGAAGATTTTTAAAGATTTTTCCTAAATATTCCATGTAAAAATTGGGTCGGCCATTTTGGCCCCACCCTAGCCCCAGGGGTCATGATTTGTACAAACTTGAATCTACACTACCTGAGGATGATTCCACATGAGTTTCATCTTTCCTGGCCCAGTGGTTCTTGAGAAAAAGATTTTTAAAGATTTTTCCTACATTTTCCTATGTAAAACTTGGGTCGGCCATTTTGGCCCCACCCTAGCCCCAGGGGTCATTATTTGAACAAACTTGAATCGACACTACCTGAGGATGATTCCACTTGAGTTTCATCTTTCCTGGCCCAGTGGTTCTTGAGAAGAAGATTTTTAAAGATTTTTCCTATATATTCCTATGTAAAACTTCAAAACAAACGGCCATTTTGGCCCCACCCTAGCCCCGGGGGTCATGATTTGAACAAACTTGAATCTACACTACAAGAGGATGATTCCACATGAGTTCCATCTTTCCTGGCCCAGTGGTTCTTGAGAAGAAGATTTTTTTAAAATGCCATTAATTTTTCTCTAATTCATAATTATCTCCCCTTGGAAAAGGGCATGGCCCTTTATTTGAACAAACTTGAATCCCCTTCACCCAAGGATACTTTGTGGCAAGTTTGGTTGAAATTACCCCACCAGCGGATCTTGAGAAGAAGTCGAAAATGTGAAAAGTTTACGTACAGACAGACAGACGGACATACAGACGGACAGACGGACGCCGGACAAAATGTGATCAGAAAAGCTCACTTCAGCCTTCGACTCAGGTGAGCTAAAAATGTATCTGGCAATAATTTCATTATCATCTAATAAGGGAAATCATAAATTAGCATACAAAAAGCAGATTTTGAATATGGTTTTGAATGTTGGTAAGTTGTTTTATAAGTGTAAAAGAAACAGTCTGATTAATGCTAAAATACAACTAGAGCAAAATTAAGTACAGTTTGTTAACAATAATTTTGAATATGGTTTTGAATGCTGGTAAGTTGTTCTATAAGTGTAAAAGAAACAGTCTGATTAATGCTAAAATACAACTAGAGCAAAATTAAGTACAGTTTGTTAACAATAATTGCAATAAAACATATTTCTGTCTCTAAGTGTCTATCTTCAAAATTTACTATCAATGGGGTACATTTACAGAGAAGTCTGTGTATAACACTGACTTTGTAGCTCCTTGGTAAGCAATTCTGTTGTGTCGAACAGTGAGCGGTAAGTGTTGATCACTTTCTGAAGGTTATCTCTCTGTTTGGACAGCTGGGACATCTGACTCTGCTTCTTCACATCTAAAAGTACAGTAAATAGGGAGTACAGGGACATGTATCCAAGTAAGCAAGTGGCTTGCTCAAACAGACAATAGAATAAAGTTCTGAAGTACACACAAACACAGTCACTCTAATGTTAAATATTTTTCTTATCACAAAAAAAAGCTATTCCCTCTAGCTAATGAATCATGCAAAGTACTTTAGCACAAAAGCTACTGTATGTAAATCAAGGAACTTAATATTCAATTTCTTGTATTAACATCTGCAAACAGAGATGAATTGATGGTTCACAGGTATAAGTAGAGAGACAATGAATGCAGGAAACCAGCTTCAGATTTGGTATATTATATACATTCAAATTGTGCAGTTTAGCATTTCCTCTTCCCCTTCTTCATTAAATCTAAATGGTAGGAAGTAAATCGGTTTTACAACTTAAAATGTGAGTACCATTGTAAAAGAGGAAAGGTATCTCCAGTGGTGGTATGGATTTATTCCTAGGAATCAGAGAACACACGACATTACAGCGAAGCAGGTACTCCTGTCCGTCCTGGCCTGGGGCATTCTCCTGTATAGTCAGGTTCTACAAGAGTATTCCAAAATGTACAAGTATATATATCTCTTTAAATTCAGAAGCATAGTGTTAAAATAAACCTTCAAAATACATGTATTTGGTTAATTTATTTGCTGTGTTTTCAATTGATCAATTTGACTGGAAAATTTTTTGATTGAATCTAGCTTTTCTATACTATGTTTTTTCCTCATTGAGTCTTGACGAGACATTCTTACATTGAGGGCACAAGCTCCATTGTTTAAGGGTATTTCAAGAGTTCTGCTGCCACCAACGAAGCATGGGATCTCTGTCACATCCTCTGGTCCACAAATCTCTATTTTCACTTTCCCATTGTATCCTGTACCAGATGCATTACCATGCTGATCCTGTAACCAGCAAAGATAAAATGAATTCAAAGCATAATTTTTGCTGTTCTCTTACATACATGTGTTTAGTCTTCACAAAATTATTTTACATTTCCTCTTTATAACTCGATACTGAAATAAACAGAAAACCAAAATTGCTTAAAAAGCCCATAAAGAGTAGATTCACTTCATAAAACAAGTACATGTAGACCTACCCTGAGTTCTAGTCTAAGATGACGGACCACACATCTGGCCGTGGTTGCCTTGGTGTTAGACACTGTGGGAGTGCCCGGGTTGTCTACTGGTAATAACTGCATGGGAGGGGCTGGTTTGATGTGAACTGTCATCTGAAATTAAGAAATGAAACATATTAAAGAAATAATTCAGGGATTAATCTGTTTTGGGGAAACCCTTCGTCTCAGGTTTTCATGAAGACTGTACTAAACTTTCCCCATCCTATGATATAAATCCCCCACTTACCACATTGCTGAACAGCTCGTACTGGCCATCATAGTATGTGATCATGATCTGGTGTACAGCAGCACTCTCGGGGGTTTTCCTCTCCTTAAAGAGAAACACACCTGGGCTTCCCTTCACTGCCTCAGGACTATGGGATACTGCCTGTAAAAAGATTTTGTAACTGGTCAAATTTAGCTGAAATTTATTCAACAATCTTACCAGCATAGGACATCTTATTGCAAATCACTTTTATTCAAGTGAACTTCATTTTTCTTCTTGAGTCTGTCTGTTTACAAAATTGTTTCTTATGATTATCAATCTTACTTACCCGTGAAGGCGGACCACTGGCTACATTGGCGTCCATCTTCCACAGCTTGAGGGACAGACTGGACACTTTAGCACTGGCCATGGGCTGATCATCCTCTGTCAGGACTTTAACTGTAAACTCTGTGAATGAGACGTAACACAATGGAATCAAGTTACTTATCTTGATGTTCCTTGTATCGAAAGACACAAGTTGACTACAATTGGTAAGTTTCTGTGGACTGTATAGAATCTACTGAAAAGTGCAACAAGAGTTTGGTTTAATATAAAATGTAAATAAAAAAACAAAATGAGTTAAGGAGGCTTGGGGGTCAACAAATTAAACACAAATTAACCACCAGATTTAACTTATTTTTTTTTAGATACGGTATCTTAAGCTGTCAACTATCATTTGGTAAAGAAAAATTCATTCATTTTAGTTTTAAAATTTGATCATTTTTGTATATATTTATATGGAGCTCTTCTTTTAAAGGTGATCGAAATAGTCTGAAAATGGCTGCCACCCCCAGTCTCTTTAAATCTGCTTACAAGCCACTCACCTGGTAGTTTTTCTCCCACCACAAAGTTTGCCTTCTTATCATACTCTACTGATAGAGAAGTGGGCTTCATCAGATTCGGCTGAAGCTGAATGGAGATTTTAGGACCAAGAATAGGATCTGCTTTGCCATGGAATGCTTTTGGCTGGAGTTCATAGTTGCCTCTACAAGGGAGGAAAATAGAAAACATAAAATCAAAATCAAAATCATGAAAAGGTGTTCCGCAATGTGTTGCATATAAATAAAACAATTCTAAGAAAGTGAACCAATTAACCTCACATGTAAAAAAAATTATCATTTTTACGCTGCAAGCAATCATTTCAGAATTTCTTAGGACAGTTTCATTATTTTATTAATCATCAGACTTAAAATTAATATATATGCTATCCATTCTCTTAATACCACATGTAATTATGTAACTGCAATATTTCTCAAACTTCAGCTGTAATAACTACAGCAAAACTTGGTTATGACGAAGTCACTGGGACCTAAGAAATTACTTCACTATATCCGTAATTCATTATATCCATATAACAAATTCATTAAATCTATATAGATGGGGATCCAAGATGACTTCGCTATATCCATGAATTCGCTATATCCGTGTTCGAATTAAAAGAGTTCTACTGTAACAACATGTATATGTACCTTGGTCCTGATACAGTCAATACCCCAAAGTCCACTTGTCCCTGTGCATTGGTCTTCAGAGGAGTTGGTGGGGGATACAGCTAAAAGTAGTGATGGTTTTATGTAGAACAATTGAAATGTTTCAAGTGCATCAAGAATTAAAACAAAAACTAGTACTTGTAATATAGTCTTCCTCTATACAGGTGGTGGATGAAATTTTGTTTTTTATCCATGTGATACATAATAATTGAGCATAATTATTCTTGTTACCTTTATTTTACCCTCTTTAGTTAGTTGTACTCTGACGTCGGCCAATTTCGAGGGGTTTCCAAACTGATCACAAAGCTGTACCACTATAGATCTAGGGAGTTTACTCTCATTCAGTACTGTCAGGGTCTGTAATACAAAATTTTATATTTATAACGTAGGGATGAGAGGACCAATTTATAGGATTACATTACCATTCATTTCCACTGTTCTTTAACTGATGTGAACATCTTTATAAATTGTCTTTAAAATCTTGAAAATGATTTTGTCAAATGTTTGTCAATATCATTTCATAAATACAGATAATCTACCTCCTCACAGTCCCAGCCGGGCAGACTAAGTGCCTCAGGGGGACCAGCTACCATCTCAATCCTGACAAAGTCCCTCAGATCCCGCCAGGTCACCTTCAGGTCCTTCGTGCCTATCTTCCCTCCCTCAAACTGTACATTGTTGATCGCAAACCCATTCTGTAAAGAAGGATTACAAGTTTACAACAGAGCAAAATTCTGACTGAACAATTTTATCTCTAAACTCCAAATAACCTTCATATTCCATCCCAGTCCTCATCATATCATCAAATATCCCCTTCTTTATCAAATAAATATGCATGAAGCTGTTTTTTTTAAAGTACAAAAGTTTTGGTGAAGTAGAATACCAATTTCTAATTTTATGGCATTTAAACACTTTGAAATCTTGTTAATATTCTTTTCATTTGCAATTTTAAAGAGTAAAACAGAAGTTCAGAATTTTATCACTTGTTACCTTATTAGAAGTCACTTTGACTAACTGTTCTTGTAAGCCATCCCCTGTCACTTGGAATTCATGTGCAGAGTTCTTTGGAAGCTAAAAAAGTGATATACGTACAGTAAGATGAAATGCTACATGCAATTGATTGTCATTAAATGATCTACCAAAAAATCAAAGATCTGATCCTACAAAATTACAATACACATAAATTTCAGTTGTAAAGCTTTGAAATTCTTTAAACTACCCATGTGCTTACATCTGTAATTTCATTTCCAAACTTGTCCTTGACGGTGATCTGTATTTCATGTTTCAACATCTCCCCTATTTGTACTGCAGCGGGTCCCTGACATTTACATTTGATCTGGTTTGGCTCGGCAGGCAGAGCACTGAAATACATGTTATCATGCATGTAGGTCACTTTTTTCATCTTCAATCTACATATACATGTACATTATACATGTGAAAAACTGCATATTTCTGTATTTCAAATAGTCTTTTACTTTATAATCACTAGGACACGAACATCAAATCATAAAACAAGCTCATTCTTTTCCACATAATTTTGTTGCCAGTCCTGTACTTCTAAAGTTACACAACTCCAAAATATGTTATCATGACCTGATACTGAAGTAAACATCGATTCTTACTTGACGGTGAAGCTGAACTCTACATTAGATTTGTCATGAATGGCCACCTGGCAATATTTCAAATCTGTGACAGAGGACGGGACTTTGATTGGGGGCAGATTCCCAGACATGATCATCTCCTGGTTTAATTTGGGTGTCCAGTTTATCTTAAAATGGAAAGAAGATATGTAAACTATTAGTTTCAATAGTAATGTGTCCATACCTTTTCATCCCCCAATCTTTTCACTATTCCCATCTAAATGACACAAACTTAATATTTTCAATGCATCATCAAACTTTTGTCAAACTTTTACACTTGTACAAAGACCCTTCAGTATCCAGACTTCAGATTGAAAAATACTTTTCTATGTAGAAAAAAAACTATCAAATCTGGAAATAATAACAATCAGACAGTTACCTCTTTGAATTCAGGATTTTTCCTACCTTAATCTTGGGGAGAATTTTGTCATCTACAGTGACAGTCCTGCCAGCCTCATCATATAACACGAAAGCTGCAAAGATTGGTATAATGTTTGATTCCAGAAGTAATGATTACAGTGGGGGGAAAATGATGTGAATAATGCAACAATTTATCACAAAATCTGATTTTGTGGCATTCAGAAGTAATGAGCACTAATGAAACACATTGAATGTATAAACACTATCAATGCAAGAGCTTTCTTATTGGAAGAGCAATTTTCTTGAATGTATTGAATTTAAGAGTTGGCTCACTCAATCCTGTGATGGATTCCCCTGCTATTCCCATGATGCTCTCTCCTTGTTTCAGCATCCTCTTTTTCTTGTTCTCTTCCTGTTTAATCTCGATGTGGGATATTGAGTTACTGGGAGTGACAAGTACTGATCGCTCAACAGCAGGTATGTCCTTCTTATTCTGAAAAAATACAGGTCTTATTTTGTAAATTTTTATCTTTTTGAAAGCAATACATGTACACATCAATACAAAATTTATTTTATACATGCAGCTGACATATAAATGTCACTACAAAATACTTCCTGTTACTTACAGTAACTTCAAACTTTGCTGTTAGCTCCTGCTTGTCTTTGACCTTTTTGAGGAGAATGGGTTCCCCTGTGATGTTCCCACACCCCGCAGCAGAGCAGTCCAGGGAGTAGGTGGGGGAAGTAGGAGTACCAGTAAACTGTAACAGAAAATTTACTCAATATAGTCTGACTTTTATCATTGTTTTAAATATTTATGCAAACTTATCTTAAAAGAAAAACTGACAAAAATGTTCACAAGACTTCTTTGTGACAATTTAAATAGCTTCTCTGCTTTTACTATTAACAGCGAGGATTACAAAGAAATGCTCAAAGTATCTTAAAAAGAACTTGTTTGAAGTTAAATTTTTGAAAATGGAAGATTACAGTGTGCCTATCAAAGAGTTTAGTAACATACATGTTGAGCTTCGTATGTATATACTTGTCCAGTGTACTTTTATCTGCAGATATTCACATCTGTTTTATATCTTAATTTAACCTACCACTGACAGTGAAATTTTTTAAACACCTTAAACACAATCATTGCGATATTTACCTTACAGGTAACTGTGAGATTTTTGTCTGTGGTAATATTGCCAGACAAGTCCAACACTTCCACCCTGAACACCGGGGCTGTACCATTCTCTATAGTGATTTTCTCCTCTGGTTTCACATTCAAAACCTTGGGCGGTCCTAATGAAAACAAGCACAACATAAATTATGAGCACTTCTAAACATGTACACTCGGTAAATACATGTATTTCTGTGACTTTTATGAGGATAACCACTTGTCCTATCAAAGCTTTACTGAAATAAAGCACATTTCTTAACATAGCGTGTGTAAAAATTAGAACACACACCTGGCAACATTCTGATTTTCAGAGCTTGTGCATCTTCTCTTAGTCCTGGGACTGTAATAGTAACTCCATAGCTCTGAAATTTACATAGAAATTGAATGAAACAGATGTACAAACTGTTAAACATAAAAAAACATATCCTGTGATGTGAAAGTCTATATCATGATTTTTTAATTTTTTTTTCTCTAATAGAGAAATGCATTCTGGTGCCTCATGCCCCTTACCCCTGTGTGTTTCTCACTGATGACACCTTTTGCTACAATTCCTGACAAGATCAGGCTGCTTCCTTTAACTACAGTTTTCTCATAAGAAATGTCAAGATCCCTGAAAATGTACACATAAACACATACAATAACTTAGGCTATATAAATTTAATTCTCTGGTTCTCAGGCCAATTTTCTCCAAAACAGATGCAGGCAGGAGGCATTTTATTTATCATTTTATTGGCAATAAAGTAGATGAGAGAGGTATTTTTTTTTTACTTTAATTTCTTAATTTTCTTTAAAATAATGATAAAAATTCTTTGTTCACAGATACACCTTCCACGTCTGATCAAAAGGTTTGCATTCTCCATCGCTTATCAACATTTGAACACATAGGCAATGTCTTCTAATGTATTCTTAAACGAAGACTGTCAAAGTAGCCAAAGCTCTTCGCAAATGCTACCTGAAGTGATATTTAAGTACTAAACTACAAAAAAGTGAGAACTGAACTTTTTTCCGGATTAGTCTCCGCAATACCAACTTTTTATTTTATCAAAAATACAATAAAATAAGTAATGCGGCTACGTAAAAATGGATGTGCGCTGGCCTGAGAACCAGAATTTCAATAACATGTAGCTTAAGCTTACACAGTCTTCCCCATACAACAATATCTCAAGTTTCAAATTTAGAATACTAGAATACAAGGAACATGTAGACACACCTGGCCTGAATGGTTGGTGTAGATGACTGGAGTGGTTTGGTGATGTTGTTGAATGCATCTCGGAACACAAGTGGTATCTGGAATGGCTGTCCAATTCTGAAGGGACCCTCCAACATCCCCATGGTAAACTTTTCTGGCTCTCCCTCTATTTAACAGAATCCATGTGTTAAAACAAAGATATGCTACAGGCGATTTCATTAAAATAATACAAATAATCCACTCAGCTTTCTCTAACATGTTAATTTACTTTATACAAAGCTATTACGAAAGAATTCTGATTAAGAAAATAAGGTTTCCAATATTTCTCCCTTTTGAGAAGATTTACATGTATAAGAGTGGAATAAAGAATTTAAGAGTGCTTTGAATCTGTTTATTTTCCATACCAGTGACTGTGAATTTGATGTGATGAGAGGGGAGACTCTTCCCTGCATAAATGGTAGATCCACTCTCATTTAACACAACCTGTAGCTGCAGAGTGTGGGGACCCAAGTTGTGGATGTTCTCTAAAAATACAAAAAAAAAAACAGTTTAGTCTAAGCATTTATATCTACATCTTTCTAGGATTTAAACAACTTTAAATCAATAATTTCTTTACAGTGTTAATTTACATCTCTTTTTGATATGATTTACTTTTTTATGATCAAATTTTACCCATTTTCCTGAACCAGTAGGGCCACGTCTTGCCATGCTGACTGATGTGTGATACAATGGTTTGATCTCCATTGGGACCTAGCAACCAATACAGTCTTGTACATTTAAAGTTGGTACAATACATGTAATTTCAATAAAAATCATTTTAATTTTACAAATAAAAATCCTCCGTTTTCTGTATAACTAGAAGTGGAATCTTGACTTACTATGCCATACAACTTTTAATTCCACGAGCAGCTTCTTCTGGGAAGCATGAGCAGTGGTTCCTGGCAGTTTTTGTATTTTTTCTCCTTTTCTGTTTTCGATTTCTATTTTTATGGCACCTATAAAATCAGTACAATTCATAAAATCCCTTTTCTCTCATATAATCTCATTTTCTAGGATTATAGGGGAAACTGACTAAACCTCAAACATCAAAATAACAAGAGACCCAAGGGCCTTGAATCGCTCTTCTGATAAATTGTACAATCTATCACTTCTATTTGAAGCCTCTAACCTTAAGTATCCTAAGACCCAAGTTGCATCAACTGACAAAGTTTGATGATTCTTAGCCAATAATGACTAAAAATATTTTTAGTAATAAAGCTATAAAAAACCATAAGTACATCACAGTGACCTATATTAAGATTGAAGTTTTCTGAGGACTCAAGATGCATTAATAAACAAAGATTGAAGATTCTAAGCAAATAAGTATTTGAGATATTTAAAAGTAGGTCACTGTGACCTACTTTTATGTCTACATTCTTTGAAAACCCAAAATACATCAACTGACAAAGTTTGATGATTCTAAGCCAAAAAGTACCTGAGATATTCAAAAGAAGGTCACCATGACCTACTTTTTGATCGACATTCTGTAAAAACCAAAGATGCATCAACAAACAAAGTTTAGTGATTCTAAACAAGTTAGTACCATAGATACTTAAATACAGCCATAAAATGTCGAAAGTAGGTTACAGTGACCTACTTTTTTGACATCATTCTCCGAAAACCCAAGATGCATCAAATTACAAAATTTGATGATTCTAAGCCAATAAGTACCGTAGATACTTAAATAAAGCCATAAAATGTCAAAAGTAGGTCACTGTGACCTACTTTTTGGTCATCACTCTCCGAAAACCCAAGACACATCAACTCACAAAGTTTGATGATTCTAAGCCAATAAGTACCATAATCACTTAAATAAAGCCATAAAATGTCAAAAGTAGGTCACCGTGACCAAAATTTTGGTCTTAACTCTCCGAAAACCCAAGATGCATCAACACACAAAGTTTGATGATTCTAACCCAATAAATACCTAAGATACTAAAATATAGCCATAAAATATTGAAAGTAGGTCACAGTGACCTACATTTTGGTCGACATTTTTCAGAGTCCAAAGATGCATCTGCTGACCAAGTTTGATGATCCTAGGTCTGAAGGTAATCAAAATATGCCTTTCAAACAAATCGAAAACAAATGCCTGCAAAATTCAAAAATTAGGTCACGGTGACCTGCTTTTTTAGAAAGTTTTAAGGTCCCAAGATGCATCAATTAACAAGATTTGATGATTCTAAACCTCTCAGTGTTGAAATAATTGGATTAAATGTTTTGATTAGTCATAAACAAAAAGTAGGTCACAGTGACCTACTTTTAAGCTGACATTGTTCAAGGACCCAAGATGCATCAACTGACAAAGTTTGATGATCATAGGCCTTATGCCTTCAAATCAATTTGAAAACAAATGCCCACAAAATTTAAAAAGTAGGTCACCGTGACCTACTTTTGTTAACATAATGTGAAGTTTGAGATGCATCAACTTACAAGATTTGATGATCCTAGTCCTAATAGTAAGCAAAATATAAACTTTTTATTATTTGTAAATTTAGGTCAACTTTGAAGTGACCTTGGACCACGCCCTTTGCCCAAGGGCATGCCTTGAACAATTTTTAGTCTTCAACATATCCTGATCCTTGTATGTAATTTTGGTGAAAATCTGCCTGGTGGTTCTGGAGAAGATTTTTTAGCAACCAGTACTTTTGGTTTTGTTTTCCTGATTATTGTTTATGGCAACCCTTATTTTAATATAAAGGGTAGCCCTTGGGCCAAGGATACCCTGTGAAAAATTTGACATTGATTGGCCAAAATGGCCCATTTCTAAAAAGTTAATACACCGCACACCACACAAATGGCCATAGCATTAGCTCTTTGAGCCTTTGGCTCAGAAGATTAAAAGGTAGATCATTCATTGGCACATATGCATGCATCTTGACTATGGATGAAACTTACATGTCCAATATTTCAAATAAAATCTCATTGTTTAAGATCTCAGGTAAATCTCATATAAGTATACTTTGGTTATCATTAGAAATTTCACCTCACAGAAAATGTTGTTTTCTTTGTACATGTAATAAATGCAAGGAAATCTTATGGTGATACTTATCACTTGTAATTCCAATACATAAACAGTGATTTCTCACTTGAAAACTTACAAGTAAATATACTAACCATGATAGTGTTACTCTTATGGTGTCTAGATAACATACCAATGGTTTTTCCTGCTGGTCTTTTTTCATTTGGTTTGACGATATCACCTTCAGGCCAGGTAACAATCAATGATTCAGGCAATCTAATATTATAATATAAATACAATGTCACAATAACCTTCTAGTCTATCAAAAACATGTGAGACATTTTAAGCTCTTGTGATAAGCCATAATCTAGTCTTCCTTACTTGGACTCCTCCTCCTCTAAGTATCGTTTGACGGAGGCGGGACCACACAGTCTGTCCAGTCTAGACAGTGGCACCACCCTGACCTCATTATACAGAGACTGTGGCTCCTGCTGGATCTCAATCTCACCACCTGTATAAACAGAATTCAAACATAAAGCTTGAGGTTCCTGCCTCCAGAGGATCCAATTATCAAAAGTATGCAAGATGCTATATATGCAATGTTCATGTCATTGCTAACATATCCTCCATAGTTTTCAAGACAAACTTTATTCTGAAAAGTGCCATAAGAGCCAAACAAATATCAACAGTAACAGAAAATATTTCCTAGTCAATTCCAAGCTATTACACATTTCATCCTTTGACACACCAAACAACAAGATATGTTTGTAAAAATTATGCCCCCCTCCCCCCAAATTAGAATTTTTCCAAGTCTGTCAAAAATGGTGCAACCATACCCAAAACATAACTTGGCCTAGATATTTATCTGATTATTCTGTATACTAAATTTCATTTCAGTATGTGCAACCTAATTGAAGAAAATGAACGGAAACTGCAAGTAATTGGAATCCAAGGGGCATAACTCTGACACACTGAAAAATCTGTATACTAAATTTCAAAAACGGAAACTGCAAATAATTGGAACCAAGGGGGATAATTCTGTCAAAAATGGTGTGATTGTACCCAAAACTGAACTTGACCTAGATATTTATCTGATATATCAAATTTCATTTCAGTATGTGCAACGGTTGCGAAGAAAATGTGGACTGACGGACAGACATACCTACCGGACAGACAGCAGCAAATATGCCCTCCCTTCTTCGAATACTTCACCAGTGGCAAAACTGTTAAATTCTAGTGTGGAAAGGTTGACACATATACTTCACCATATGCATTACCATACTCCACTTGACTTTCTGTAGATAAGCTGCTCACCTGTAGCAAAAGTGTCCTCTTCATGCTCTCCATAGAGATAGAAATTCTTAATGGTGCCCAGCAGTACAGGGGTAGTTCTCAGTATCTTCACCTGTGCAGAACAATAATTTCAACATACTAGAATTGTAGCATAAGTACAAACAATATTTCAGACTTAGTTACAACAGTAAATTCAAATTTACAAACTTTTTATCAAAAAGTGTGTTGATCTGCAATGCATTATTTTTCTTCCATTAGATTACCATCATCAGCATCCTTAAATCTTAACAATCATTGGTAATTTTCTGATTCAGAAAGACTAACCATCTGCCCCACTTTGAATGTCTTGTTGTCCCACACCACACTTTTATACCGGCTCCATGGGGTTTGCCTCTGCTTGGGAAGGTCTGTTCTCACCACTTGACCTGCATACCCAGTAAAGTGGATCTGTTTGTCGTACTGTTCATGACAGTCTTTTAACCAGTTTAAGAACTCCCTCTCAATTGATGTACGCTTTTCCTACATAAAAAAAGTAAATGCTTTTTTTTTTAATATTTAGTTATAAAATGAATATTCAGCTAAATCTTCCATCTCTTAGCATTTAAAATACCTGCACAAACATATTACGTATTTTAAAGTGATTTAGGTGTACTAGATAAACTTAATTAACAATTAAGGTGTAAAAGCATAGTCTCAAATAAGAATGTACCTCTTCATGTATGTATTCAAAGACTTATTGCACTTAATTCAAACAAACATGTAAATTCTTAGCTTTACATTCACAAATGTATCCTTTCCTCTTTTTATTGGAAGTGTTAATTGAGAATAAAGGTAGATGGAAGGAATTGTGTTTTACTGAAAAACAGAATGCTAAAATACAACAATGTTTTGAAAAATGGATTCCAAACTAAGCTATCACAGTCTACAAAGAGAAGAGGTAAACAATAAAACAACCTCTTTATTATGAATTCCTATAACAGAGATGGATGTCCAGTACTTACCTGTCCATTTACTACTCTACTGAATATAGAGCTTTTATCTCGTAATCTCATCTCCAGGTCAAGAAAGGTCAGCTTATTGGTGCTGACCTGGAAATGGTCATTTGTGAACAGCACACCTGATATTCTGAAACAAAATATTTATATCCAGGTAAACAAACAAAGCTTCATAGTTTTGACACAATTCATCGCTTTTACCCCCTCAGTTACATGAAGCTAAGCTTTATACTTTCAACCTTTCAAACATGTCAGTTCAAAAGCTCAAGATCAAGTAACAATGTAATACAAAAACAATTTCAAGTCCACAAACCTATTCCAGCATTCTGCTGCAATGGTCCGGCTCTTCTTTGGTTCAGAACACCAATCAAATCTACAGTACATCAAAAGTATTAAGAAAATAAGTCTAGGTTACAAAATCACTTAACAATTAAAATCAGGATAAACAAAATTTCTATATTTTTATATTTACAAACCTAATTGTTACCATTATTACTGAATCTAATTAACAAATAAATCACATCCCACTCATCAACTTGTGTCTTAATATTTGCTTATGTTTATTTCTATACTGGTGTATGGAATTCATAAGATCTACCATTCCAATAGCATTCAAATATATCACACGCCAATCCCCCTTGCTGGTCATGCTTTGCTGACAGCAGCCTGCTTCTCTCTAGTCATGTTCATCAAACTCATGAAATTTACATTTACTACAATTAACCATTGGAAATGTACATACAGGTCAAATGTACATGTTTATTTAACAGAGATATATATCTACTGAGGAGGAAATCTATATATGATTACTTCAAGGTATTTCACTGCTTGATTAATGAGAAATAATAATGTGCGACAAACATAACATTAAGTCCCTCCCAAGGCATTTTCTTGTACACAGTACCACCATCTGTCCAAAGTAACCTGCTACTATGATTTTTCAAAACCAGTTTTTGTGATTTCATGCAATCTAGTATATAATTCCAAATTTCCACTATGTTGTTAAATTTTGTTTTCAATCCCATTGGTTTATTCAATAAATTATGCAGGTTTTACAAATAAAACAGCAATTAAAAAAAATCACACCATTATTATATATTTTAAAATTACACGAAGGTCTGATGGTAAACAAAAAACACTAATTATAATTCTGATTTCTAAAGGGAGTACCTCTTGGATCGTTCACATCTGACGGATATGTTTCGCTGTCATACAGAAATGGATGATAGCGGATAATTCCCTCTACGACCCCCTCTCCCTCTGTTGTGGCCTTAAAGAAGAACTGACTGGCTGAGTTTCTGACGTACAGAGATTGCATGTCATCGTGTATGTCTCGCAAGTTGATTTCTGTTGCTGGCTTTCCTTTTACATTCAGCTTTACCTGTAAAGCCATTTTCCTGATTATCATAGAGTATAAAAGGATGCAGTTGTTTGTTATAAAATCATTTACTTAAAAATTTGTTAAATCTCAATTTTGTGGTTGGGGAAAAAGTTGCTTTTATGGATTTTATTTTACAATTCAAAAAATTATAACATGAAATGCCCATAAAAATTATTGACTTTATGGTACAATCATATGAAAAAGCTTTCCTAACCAAACAATTCTGTCCCTCAAAAAAGTACAAAGGACAGTCAGAAAAGATGAACTTTGAATTACACCTTTAAATACATAGTCTCCTTGATTATATTTTTCAAAGTACAATGCAGTGTGTAAATCTGACAAGTAAGGAAGACTGTACCCTGATATTGATGATGTTGAAGGGAGTGTTGGGTCTGTCCATGTCATCCTCTAGATCACGATTTCCCTCAGGACCATGGATGTAGTAATGGTAAATATGCCTGTAAAGATAACAGATATTTATTACGATGAGAGGGCTATTAAAACATATATAATCTGCCACATGTATTTCTATGATAATTGTTTAAAAAAATTTATGAAAATAAATGTTATTAAGATACCTATTCAAGTTTAAAACGTTTCTCAATTCTTTTTAAAGCCATTTTTATTCCTTTTAAAGATAGAATAAATTAAATATAGCTTACGCAAGTTGTCTTGTCCAGTCAGCAATATGATGTCTGAGATACAAAACATGACTTGGGTTGATACCACCTATTTCAACAACAGTAAAACTCTGTTTTTTCTTTTCTTCTTTAATGATGTTCTGCAGGATTTCATTTTCTGATGGTATGTGAGATGAGTCCCCTACCTTCAACACCATAAAATCAAGTTCATTAAAATTTCCTACCCCTAAATTACAATTCATTTGTCATAGTTCATGAATGTGTCTATTACATTTCATCATTGATAAAGAGTTGATAAAATAACACTTCTTTACATCCTTGCATAGCAGTAAAATGCTTCACCTTTCTATTCCTGATGAAGCCACTGTACACAGACTCTTTGTTGATCTCTTTCTGTTTGAACTCCTCCTTCGACATTGTCAGCTCATGAATATCTTGAGAATCCATAGCCTTTGTCATCATCTACGAGTCACAATAATACTTCAAGTAAAAGTAAAGCCACATTTGCGATAAACAATTAATATATTCAATTTGAAAATTTCTAAAGATATGCAGAAGAATACATAGGGCTTACAGATCTATAGAGTAGTTTCTGAATACATGTAGTTTAATTAAACGCAAGTTCAATATTTCCACCGTATGTATATTTGTTTCCAAAATAATGAAATGGATGATAAAAATCTTCTATACCACATGCTTAATAAAAAATATAAAACAATTTTTTTTAATTCTGAAGGTTATCGAATTCTTACCCTTGTGGAATTTCCTATGAAGAAAACAGCCTGCTTTCCTCCCACACCAAAGTACGAGATGTCACTGTTCAGACACAGGGGAGCCTGTTTCTGTTCTACTTCCTCATCATCATCCTCCCCCTCAATAAAGCTCCTTTCAATCACATTAATAATCAGTCACTTATTTACTTAAACAATGCAAAAAATTTGATTTCAGTAAAAAGGTTCAAATTCATGAGCACATTTGTTTTGACATTTACGGGTGATTGGTGTCAGTTTGTAAGTCATTCAGAAAAATTACTTACACTTTCCCTCTTTTATCTTTGCGTTTGAATTTAGAGAGTCGATAAATAGCCCAGTTGTTCAGCTGTCTTGGTGTCATCCCTTTTCCGTTATCGATTATAAATATGGCATTATTTGATGGCTTCCCATCATCAAAATGCTGCAAAACAATGAGAAAGAGTTTTACCCACTTTGCAATGACTTGTACTTTGTAAATTCTGAAGTCCATTGTTCAGTAAAAAGATATCCATCTTCATAAAAAATGTCCTTGAGACAAACTACTCAATTTTATATCTCAATCCAGTTCTTGTCAAAGTACTGCATCAGAATTTTTCCCCCACTATTTATCTGCATAAAGTTACAAATCACTCACCAATAAAATGTCAATGTTTCTTGGTCCAGTATTTTCTGCGGTTGCTGATAATGCATTATCAATCAACTCAGCAAAGGCATATGCTGTGGATAAAGTTTAAAATATTGATTATTAACAAACATCAGACCTTTTACAATCTATATATGAATTTTGAATTCTGTTTGTTTTCTTTTTTAATCAAGGCTAATCTTTAATTAGGCCCTTTAAAATCTACTTTATTCTTACGTAGTGGATTCTGTCCTTCTGATGCATAGTATTCATAAAGTCCTCCCTTCACGATGGTGTCATAATGTGGCACAAAATTAACTCTTTCATTTGCTGGGGCACACAGCTCTTGGTTAATTTTCTTTAGGACATAGAGAGTGTCTCCATTATCTATATCATCTGAGATACAAAAAAATTAGTTTTAATTATACTTGCATAAATTCAGTAAGTGGTATACAAGGCAATAGACATAAGTAAGCCTCCTTAGTAAAAAAGCTTTTTATAGTAAATATATTTAGTTTTTTGGGTATAAAAGGTATTAGACTTATTAATAAGTAAGCCTCCCTAGTAAGAATACTTTTTATTGTAAATATATTTAGTTTGTGCATTATATGTACCCCAAGTTTCATCATCTTTAATTTCCTCTCTGTTTGTTGTGGCAATAACAAAGTTATCTTTCTTCTTGATCTGCAAAGCCTACAAATAGGAAATAAAAATCATTAATCACATAATTCAATTAATGTGGTTTAAATATTGCACTGATAGAAATTTTTTTTATCACATTCAAAGGCTATTAAATAACTTTTGTTTTACAAAAAAAGGGGGGGGTTACACTTACAGATGGCGATTTATATACAATGCATATTTATTACATTAGACAAACTGTGAAGTGACTTTACCTGCCATTGACTTGACGAATACTTTGCTCAGTTACAAAATCCAATGATTTCTTTACATTATTTCTAGACATTGCATTCAAATCCATATGCATAGTAATCAGCAACATGACCAAGGCTTTGTTTGTAAACATTGCTATGTTTCGTTTCATAACTCACCTCTCTAACCCTTTCTTTGAAATCTTCAAAGGTAAATAAGCCTCCTGTAGGTATTTTAACATCAGGTGCATCTTTATCTCTTCTGTCAAACACGTAAACAAATGCATCATCATCCTCCATAGGCGTCTCTGCCTCCTTGCCTCGTCTGTTCGTCGCCATGTTTGAGTTAAACGCGGGATTTGGCAGGAAACGGTGCTGAGGGAAATCGCACCTCTCTGATAAACGATTCAAAGTTTTTCCCCCTTTGTGGCCACATGTATAAAAGTTTCCGTGACAAATTCTGTCAAGTACAGATATAGTTTTTAAACTTTTTAAAACTAAATAACAGTTATACATTTCTTTTCTTTTTTCTTTCTTTTCTTTTTATTTTTACAAATTTAAAATATCTTTATATATTTATCTAGAATATTCAATGGAAGAAACTCCTTTAAATAGAAAAAAAAATGAAAAACATCAATAAACTTCTAATTTAAAATTGATTACGACAATACACATATAATCTTATCAATAACTTCTTATAATTGTGCACCTATTCTTGAACTCAATTTATTTCTGACTGAATTGCATAGATACCGTTTTCACTGATAACCTAGCGGTTGGGATAAAAAGCAAGGGCAAACAATTCAATGATGACGGTCAAAGTGCATGTGGAATATTGGTAAGAAATTTCACCTATTTTATATTAAAGTTTTAAGTTGAAGTATACATTGGTGAAATTTGTGAATTTTTTGGTAATCTTTGATATCTTATTATGACAAAAGTGATTTGTTCATTATGTTAATCGGGTGTCTGTTTTGGATATGTCCTAAAATAAAAACTGCGTAGTCATGATCAGGTGATAGAAAACAAAACAAATTCTAAAATGTTATAGACATTGGAAAATACACATGTAGTAATAACAGAAACCAAATTTACTACAAAAAGTAAATGCATGTACATGTATGTAGCAGAGTTTTAACTTTTAGAAATCAATTGAAAAAAATCAGCAGAGTTTTTCCCCTTTAACTTGAAAATAAGCAAACAGTATTTGCAGGATTAATTTATACAATTAATAGGTATAACCCTCTACAAAAATAATAATAAAATTGACACTTCCAAGGACAGTGCACTTGCTGTGTATAGGGATTAAGAACTTAAAGAAGTCATAAATCAAAATCTAATGATGATGAAGTGCACCTTGATTATTGGCCTTATCTTATCTATAAGAATCCCTATTTTCTCTCTGTAAAACCACTTTCTACCTTGATTTTGCAATTACAGTATTCAAGTGAAATATTTTGTTAATTCTAATACATTGGTTTCAGTGGTGGGTGAGGTTACGGACCTCGCTTCCAGGAACTTCGTCAACAGATTCTGGCTGAGGTTCCGGAGGCTGAGGTCACGGGGACTGTAGGAAGAAGAAGTAAGTAGACCAGCTGCACCTCTCAGGTGTTGGATTTAATTAATTAATCTTGTTGATAGCAATAGCCAAAAATATGTACAGTGGCATCATGTCAGATTTTGATATTTGATTTTCTGTAATTTTAAACTTTAGTACCAGTAAAACATGAAGAACTCTGAGGAGATACAAGTGTATCAGTTTTAAAGAGTTTTCTGCAAATCTTGTAGTAGGCAAATTTTTCATGTGGTCTTTAATGCATAGATATAAAGAAACTTGGTTATAAGAGAGTAAAATTCAATGTCCAGATGACTGCTTTATGAAAAGTTTTAACTGTATCCTCAGCTATAATTTAATAATTTACTTTCCACACATGACTCTGACTCCTAAATTTCTGTTAATTTTCAGCTTCCTTTGAAGTCACTGTTGGGGATACACTTGTGTTTTCTAAACTGAAGCTGAATGCATTCCCAGTTGCAAGTGATGTAAGTTTCAATTAAATTCGAATTATATATATGACCATGTCCTTTAGTTAAGGTACATGTATCATCAGGCAATTTTTCCAATTTACATTCCCTTTTAAGTTAAAAGTCAGAAATTAAATTTATGCTCCGATTTCTCTTTCCCCTCCTTACTTCAAGTTTTCTTCACTCAGATAGAAGCAGGTGATGAAACTTAGTCATTGGAAAATTTTATGGGAAAATGATATATCTTTTTTTTCCCTCCTTTTTACTCCCATCATACCTGTACATGTTAAATGTATTAACAACATTCTAGATAAACATGCCATATAAGTCTTTTGTATGATTTTCAGGTTATTGCCTGCATCAGGGAGGTACAAAAGGGACAGAACCCCTCCATCATAGAGTCGGGCGAGTCAGCTGGTTGTACCATTCTGTAGAGTTATTCTGTTATGAAAACATCAGCATTGACATTTACTTGAAAGTTCCCATGTTGTTACATATTTAATAGCAGCATTGATGAAGGTTGAGGGAAAAAGGTCAGAGGTCATCCCTCTCTCTGGAAGGTTTTGCTGTTCAAATTTGTATCAACATGTTAGCTTTCTGAAATGCATAGATATTCAAGGTGTGTCTTTTTTTTTTTGAACATTTTTATTTTATTGTATGTGTTGTGATATATCATTATGTAAACAGAGAACTTGAAATACGTGTAAATTACATTCATATTCCATGTAATGAGTTGTTCCTTGTAATGTCCTGAATGTTATTATGTGTAGTTTCTCTTGTAAAGTTCAACTTTAAGCCTACAGTTAAGATAATGTGACACCAAAGATACTACACAAATTTTATGTATACATGTACAAATGTTTTTTTTTTATAAAATGCAAATACTCTTTAGCATTGAGTTTTCATTTATAGCCCACAAGATTTTCATGCTCTGAATGTCACTATGGAAGACATTGTTTGTGACCGAATAACTCCAGTATTATTCAGTCAAGGAAACAAGTTTCTACCTTACTTGGAATCCAGCCATAAATGCGCAAGGGGCTTATTCTGTGTAGGATATGTTTCATCAATATTTTTTCGTATATTTTGGATTCATTCAGTCTTTATTTGAATTGGACCTTATTTTGGCATAGAAATTCATAATTTAGAATAAAGGTGTTCAGTAGTAGATTTAGAAAAGTTCCATTATCACAAACCATGGCCTAAATGTATTATCCTCTCCAATTCTGGAGGAAGTTGCTAGCCAATTGTTGGCTTGAAAGGATGGGAAAATTATTTTCTTCAATTATTTTTTTAAGTAGTATCCTGATCGATACTTTGGATACCTATTTTTTGTTTTTATTCGCAGAAGAAAGATAAAATTGTACAGTCATGAGTCAAAGTTTCAACTAATTATTTAATTATAGTTACATTGTAATCTTAATATAAAGAAGACTATAATTTCACAAATTCTTAACAGCTGCTTAACTTAAGATTGGATGATTAAAACATAGCCAGGATTAGAGTGATGTGAGAAATCCATCGCCTCCTGTGAAATCTCCCGGAAGAAATGAAAATTTTTGTCAAACAAAAAAAGATCCATGCAAATTTATTGTAAACTATTATATATTCAGTCATACACACCCTCCGTGGAAAAAATGATAAAGACCCCCCCCCCCCCCACACACACACACACGAAATAGGATTTTCGTGTTCGGGCAAAGGTCATATCCTCCCTAGTCAACTTGATAATCATTCATAAAATTTGGATGTATATTTTGGACACAAAAACTCTCTGAGAAGAAAAGGCATGCACAGCTTCAAACAAACAAAATTTCACTCGGTTCTTATTTTGTCTATCCATAATTTAAATATATAGAGTGAGTGAGAGAAATCCAGTCAGACATCAGAGAACTATAGGAGTTGACATCCTCACACTTTTTGTGAAATGTAATTATTCTAGATTTGCAAAAAAAAATAGCACTGAAAGATGTTGGAGTTGGGGGAATCAAACAATTCTTTACAAAAAAGTTAAATATTAAATGAGTAAAAAACCATTAAGACACTTATAAGATATACAATGCTTTTAAATACTGATAAATGAAGACAGAAAAAAAAACTGTTACCTTTTTTTCTAACGATCATAAAATGCAATCAGAGTGCTGCTGTGCAATTCTGGTAGACAGGAGTCGTCGGTAGCACTGGAAACTGTCGACATATCAGAGAATGACTCTATCCCTGACATGTTTGACGATGTATCGAGACTTGAAGCTGAAGAAGAATCTTCCATTTCCTGAAACATGGAAGCAAGAAAAAAATCTTGCCTAAATCCAGGTACTGGAGGGATGATGACGTTTTCTGGAGTGGCAAGCGGTAATACCTTGTTTTTTTTCACTCTCCTGATCTTCCTAAACCTCTCTCTTACCCTTGAAAACAATCCATTACTTTTAGTTTTAGCTGGTGGTATGTTTGTGGCTTGTTCTGGATTTGATGGGGTACAGCTACTTGCGCTTGTGTGTTCCTCAGTGGAACTACTTTTTACAGCAGCTGGGTCGAATTGGACGTTCATGTTACTTTGTCGCTTAAATAAACAACAAAACATGATGGTAAGCTTCTGACTATACAGTAATATTAAGCAATTGTGACGTCACAATTGAAAACGTCATAAAACGGTGACGTAAGTCAGAGCATGATTCAGATCCATTATGTCGTCATGATGAATTCATTTTTCAGTACCTTACTGCTAAAATTAAAACACAAATTGGTGTTACTGTTTGCGTTAT